ATCTTTTCCAAATGTTTGCTACTCTTGTTCGAATCATTAAGTTCAAAACTTAATGTTGAAACTTTATTTTGAAGAGTAATACATTTTTGACATGAAGAGGATGATGATTATTTATTTCTAAATATTTCTAATTCAGTTTTCTGTTTTAGAAATAATTTTCTAAGTTTGACATATTCATCATGCAATTCATTAAACGCTAATTGTAATTCAGAAAAAGAAAAAAGTTTAGTTTCACTGATCTCTTCATCATCAGAATGATGAGATACCAATAGCAAGAGATGAACTTGTTCGTCATTTTCTGGTTTAGATGTAGAACAAGTATTGTTGAACATTGACCTTTTATCTTCCTTTGTTCATTCATGCATAATCTCTAGAGTATCCCATATTTCTTTAGCCGATTTACAATTTTATATCATGAAAAGTTCATCATTGGCAAGCGTTGAAATGAGGATGTTCTTTGCTTTGCGATCCTATTGCACCTTCTGTTTATCTTCATCTTCCCATGAAGATTTGGGCGTTATTTTCCTTGTGTTGTTGATTACGCTGTTGGGTTCATATGGTCCTTCTTCGATTGCATTCCATATGTCCAAGTCTTGTGACTATATGAAAATCCTCGTTCTGATTTTCCATAAGTCGTAGCATTCTCGAACAAAACTGGGAGGTCTATTTATGTTGGAGCCTTCTCCTAAGAATGATCTTGAGGCCATCTTGTAGTAGGATCAGGTTTTGAGAATAACTTACTCAAAAATAGCTCTGGTGCCAATTGTAAGAATGAGAATGCAATAAGAGGGGGTGAATTAGTTGTTGCAAAATGATGGCCAATTTTTTTGCAATATCAAAGTTAAAGTGCAGCGAAAAAAGTATGCAGAAAAATATTAACTTTGAAAGATAGAAATATAACAAAGATAAGGAGAAGATAGTATACATATGTTTTATATTGGTTCACCTTCTTGTCCACCGAAGGCTACGTCTAGTACTCTTGACGCGCAAGAGATCTCCTTGTACCTTACACACTCACTTATACCTTACCTTACTCTTGACGTCTAGTACTCTTTATTAAATATAATGAGTTGCAATTACAAATATCTCACCCCGAGATCTCCTTGTACCTTACACACTCACTTATACTTAATCCCTTGGAAAACCCAATTCCAAATAACACCCTTGGAAAACACTATTCCAAGTCACTTAACCCCTTTCTCTTCACACCCTTGTGAAAGAAAGTGTTCTTAGCAAAAGTGAAGAATGTACAATATGGCTTGGATTGCCTTTACAAGTGTATATGACAATTCTGAACTTGCAATCCAAAAACAACTCTTATACTATAGATAATAATGCTCTTTTACCTTGAAATTTTTTAGAATACACTTAGAAGCAACTCTGAAATAACTTAGAAAGCTTAAGAGTATGTTGCTTAAAAGTGCAAAAAATTGTTCAAAACGTGTGAGAGCTTTTGAGAGTTTTAATGAAAGTTGTAATCTGAGTTGTTGTTGTTCTGAAAGTGTTTCAATGCCTTTATATAGACTTTCAAATCAAACATAACACCACTAGGGAAGTGTAGGTTTCGCTTGAAATGAAACAAATCATTTTTGAGTGAAACCTTTTCACTTTGAAATCTGAAAACTGATACAACAACACTCAGTAATCGATTACTATAAGTGGGTAATCGATTACCCAACAATCATGTTCAATAGCATTTTCAAATTTTACACAGTCTAATTGATTACTATAATTGAGTAATCAATTACTCAAGTGTTCTGTTTCACAGAATTGAAAAATGCCTTAGTGTAACCTATTACATCTCTTTGAGTAATGGATTACCCTGTTTTACTTAAAATGGTAATCTGTTACTTCAAAGACAGTAATGGATTACTTATAGCCGTTGGAGGATGGAGAACTCTTTTTCTCACTCATGTAACTTGTTACTCAAGTACATTAACCCGTTACATGTTGTTTTTGAAAATTATTTTTAATCACACTTAGAATATTCTGATTTTCTTGAAAACATTTTTCCGCATTATTAACTAAGGTAATAAAGTAGTTGTAAGGATTGAAATACTTAAAGACTTAGACTCTAAATCTTGAAGCTTTGTCTTTGATAGTCGTGATAGTTCTTCTTCATTTCTTCTTTTAGTGATGTTGGTGTCTTCATCAAAATCGTGCTAAGGTCAAGAGCAAGATCTTCTTCACAGATTTAGCAGCTACCGCGTCACCTGCTTCTTCACGCAGAACTCTAGGTTGAGGAGTTACTCGGAAATCTGCTAAGATATCAGCATCTTCGGTTTCATAGTTAGGAGTATAATATGTCAATTTTTAATCTTTAACATCGGCTTTGAACCCAACACTTAATTTAGCCTCTGTTTGTGGTGACATAAATCCCTCCCTACAACTCATGAGTTAAGAATTATCACAACAACAAGGTCTACTCGAATGAGGGGTTAATGAAACTTTTCACTTCACAAGAATCTTTCACAAAATGGCAACTAATATTATCTATTAATTCGAATGGTTCATTACTAAACAGTGGTATTTGATTTTCCAAATACTTCATTATTATATACTCTTTCATATGTATGGCAAACCCAATCCTTATTTTTATTTTGAATTTGTGAATCGAAATATAAAATCTATTGAAATATAGAATCTAAATACTAAGAAATTAACTCTTGACCTTAACAACGATATATATATTGTATATGTAAATCCTAGATGTAAAAATAGGCAAAATTAGCCCTCGAAAATAAATAGGTAAACAAAATATGCTATGTAACATTCATATGCTGATAAAATATGAAATTTAAATAAGGGCCAATAAGTTTAAAAGTATAATCGTAAATAAAGTTCAAGTTCGAATTCTATATCCATAGATAATAGAAATGGTATTGTCTGTCTATAATAATAGACAAATGAAAAAAAAAATACTTTTGAAAGATTTCAGCTAATTGATATTCATATCTAAAAAATGCCTTGGTTGAACTTCAAATTTAAATCCTTGAATTGGTTGGATGATACCAAGAAAATAGAGTACTAACTCCCATTTATTATTGAATTAACCAATTAACTTGCTTTATTAGCGAACATTTCCTTTTATGATTTCCAAACTTTTCAAGAAAAAAACAGATATATTGTAATATGAACAAAAATACTACCACTTCGGAACCCAAATTTTCTATGTTTCAAGAAGAAAACCTAGGACGTATCGCCCAAATAATTGGTCTGGTACTGGATGTATCTTTTCCCTCGGGGAAGATGCCGAATATTTACAACACTCTGATAGTTAAGGAACAAGATACTGTTGGTCAACAAATTAACATTATTTGTGAAGTACAACAATTTTTAACTAATGAGAGGAATGGAAGTGACTGACACATGGGTTCCTCTAAGTGTTCTAGTTGGCGGAGCAACTCTAGGACGCATTTTCAACATCCTTGGAGAGCCTATTAGCAATTTAGGTCCTGTAGATACTCGCACAACATCTCATATTCATCGATCTGAACCTGCCTTTATAAAATTAGATAAAAAATTATCCATTTAGTGTATCTTATAGCTCCCTATCATCGTGAAGGAAAAATAGGACTTTTCGGTGGAGCTGGAGTGGGTAAAACATTATGGAATTGATCAATAACATTGCCAAAGCTCATGGGTGTGTATCTGTTTTTGGCAGAGTAGGTGAACGTACTCGTGAAGGAAATGATCTTTACATCGAAATGAAAGAATTTAGAGTAATTAATGAACAAAATATAGAAAAATCAAAAGTGGCTCTAGTCTATGGTTAAATGAATGAACCGCCCAGAGCTCGTATGAGAGTTGGGTTAACTACCCTAACTATGGTGGAATCTTTTCGGGATGTCAATGAACAAGACATACTTCTATTTATCGACAATATCTTCTGTTTCGTTCAAGTAGGATCTGAAGTATCTGCTTTATTGGGTAGAATGCCTTTTGTTATGGGTTGTCAATCCACCCTTAGTACCGAAATGGGTTCTTTACAAGAAACAATTACTTCTACCAAAGAAGGGTCCATAACTTATATTCAAGTAGTTTATGTACGAGCAAACGATTTGACTGTTCCTGCTTCTGCCACGACATTTGCACATCTAGATGCCACTACCGTACTATCAAGAGGATTATCTACAAAAGGTATCTGTCCAACATTAGATCCTTTAGATTCAACGTCAACTATACTCCAACCTTACAAGGACATTTCCTTTAGACGTTGGGGAAGAACATTAGGAAACTTCACAAAGAGTTAAACAAACCTTACAACATTACAAAGAACTTCAGGACATTATAGCTATCCTTGGGTTGGTGAATTATCCGAATAGGATCGCTTAATCGTAGCGAGAGCATGAAAAATTGTCTTTACCAGTTCACCGGGGAAATATGTTGGTCTAGCAGAAACAATTAGAGGGTTTAAACTGATTCTTTCTAGAGAGTTAGGTAGTCTTCCCGAACAGGCCTTTTATTTCGTAGGTAATATCGATGAAGCTATTGCGAAGGCTACATACGAACTTATAAAAGGAGAGAAAATTCAAGAAATGACTTTAAATCTTTTTGTACTGACCCCAAATCGAATTGTTTGGGATTAAGAAGTGAAGGAAATTATTTTATGTACTAATAGTGGACAAATTGGAGTATTACCGAATCATGCGCCTATTGCCACAACTGTAGATATAGGTATTTTGAGAATAAGCCTTTATGAACAATTGTTAACGATGGCTCTGATGGGGGATTTTTCTAGAATAGGCAATAATGAAATCACTATTTTAGTAAATGAACATATTCAAAGACTTGTGTTGTGATTGTGATAAAAAAAAATCCACTCAGGTCCATTTGGAAAAGAAAGAACTGAATGAATAAGACATATAACGAGTAAAAGAAAAGATAATTTAGGAGAGAAAAATTAGAGAGCAAACTCAGACTTTTGGGGATATATGGACTTGAACCCTCACGATATATAAAGTCGACGGATTTTCCTCTTACTCTAAATTTCATTGTTGTCGGTATTGACATGTAGAATGGGACTCTATCTTTATTCTGGTCTGATTAATCAGCTCTTAAAAAGATCTATCAGATTATCATGGAATGAATGATTTGAGCAATCAATATTCAATTACTCCTTCAATAAATAGAGATTTTCAGTCTTTATTAATCAATTGAAATAATATTTCAGTAAATATACATATATATGAATATACGTTCATTCTTGATCCTTTACAAAATTTCGATGAAAGGATTCCTTTCCTAACCCAACGCGAAAGTAAATGGCGTCAACACCGTTTTTTAGAACAGCTTCCATTGAGTCTCTGCACCTATCCTTTTTATTTTCCCTTTCTGATTTTTTCTTTGTTTTTGTGAAAAAACAGGATTTCCCATTGTCAATTACAGAGTTTCTCTAAATTTGAAAGTTATCACTTGGTAAGCTTCCATACCAAGGCTCAATCCAATTAAGTTTGTAACATCTACCAGTTTTGTCATATCCCCATTCTTTTTAGATTTTGATCTCATTCTCACTAGGATTTTTTCAATTAAATTATGAGAATCATGCCAAAACTGCTGAATGGATTCGATATCGATTCCTATATTGAAAGATGTTTCCTCCTATTTTATTTATTCTCATTCGTCGATATTGGATATTCCTATTTGGTAGAATCTAACTAAAATGATTCTATTATTTATGTATTTGCAATTCAATATAACTAGAAATATACCACATATCTATCCTTTTTATATGTCCCTACCCTATTAATGTAATCCAATTCATCATTATTCGAAATTCTAAGAAATTAAAACGTTTTTTTTCTAATTCGAATATTATAAAAAAATTCGAAATGAAATAATATAAATAATATTATATAAATAGAAGATACTCTAATATAAATATAAAATACAGTAATTAACTAAGATCCCCATAGCTTAGTAGCTTAGCTTAAAAAATTCATACGTACGCAAAATTTTGACTTTGTGAGCCCGCTTAGCTTAGAGGTTAGAGCATCGCATTTGTAATGCGATAGTCATCGGTTCAATTCTGATAGCTGCATTTTCTCTATTTGTTTTGATTTGTTATATAATTTTTTTTAGGAATAAAAAAAATTGGGGGAGTTTGATCTATGTAGAACAAATCACGAAAAGAATCACCTCCCCGTTTTTATTTTATATATGCAATAGGGTTCAGATATCAGTAGTATTCATCAAATTCTTCTTTGTAGTACAATATTTGAGTAGATTTTCTTTGATTTATCATATTTTTCATTTAGTTTAGTTTTAATTTGTATTTTTGAAATTTTTTATTTATCGATGTAAACCCCAAGATATCATTACAACGAAGGATGAACAAAAATCTAGAGCTATGATTCAAAATGATCTTGATTCAGCTCCTCGTGACGAGTTTCCAGTCCATTTGACTCTTCATCCATTCCAATATAAAGGATTAGTCAATCAAATAATAGATAGTAAATGGGTTGGTTTTAAAATAAATGAATTGTTTGTTGTAGAATGTTATTATCGTCAGACTTAAACCTAAAATAACAAGAATTTTTATCCGAGGATTTTTTCCATTCATGTATGATACAAATAGAAAACGTTTTATTCCTTGCCTACTTTTCCGGTCTTTTTTGTATTACATAAAAAAATAAAAAAGTAGGAATAGAGAACAAATCCATATCCAACTTTGTTGGAATAATGACAGTTATTTTTATTATTTCAAACATTGTGGTTAGTAACACAGAAAGAGACGGATTTAAACCCTCGATACAAAAATTCGTACAATGGATTAGCAATCCGCCGCTTTAGTCAACTCGGCCATCTTTTATCTCTTTTATATTTATATTTGTTTTTTCATTCTTTATTATATAATAAAGAATGGAAAAACAATAATAAAGAATAAAAAAACAAATAGAAAAGAAAATAATAATATAATTTATTCCATTTTTTAGTTTCTTTTTATACAACCAAAGCTTGTACGTGCCAATACTTAGTTGGGCTCGTTTTGTTACCACAAATCTTTGAAAAGAAAGATTTAGTTGAATGTGTTTCATTTGAAAACAAAATTACTTGTTATTTAAACATGATCAAACATAAATAAAAAAAAGACTTTTAGATTCCTAAGATCAAAATGTCATTTTTTTATTACTCCTTCGTTTTTCTAGTAAAGTATCTAAAAAAAGAAACTGTGGATTCTTACACAATCCATTTCTTTTATGAATTAACTAGTTTTCTCGAGATGTAGATGTATTTGTCAAAACAAAACATCTTTAGCTTCTACAAAAACGAAAAACAAAAATGAAATTAGCTCTCTTTTCTGAATTTCATTTGGAGGTCCTCTTACAAAACATACTAACATTCTAATTATTTCCTCTTATTTATAGTATTCTTAATTAATTTTTATTACTAATTATTTTATCTTATTTTTAATTAATTATGCTTATGAGCCTAGTTCTTCATTATAAATGATTCCCTTGTTCAACAAAAGGTGCATTTATATGCAATAATTGCATTGTAGCGGGTATAGCTTAGTGGTAAATGTGTGATACGTTCTATAGATCACATAATAGTTAAGTGATCCCGAGCAAAAACTTGATTTCTTGGTTAAAGGAGTTTAGTTTACTCCTTTATTCCTCTCAACAAATGATTCAGAGGAATATTAAATATACATTTTCGTAATTTGTATCCAATAAAAGTAATTCTAGATTGACAAATTTAATTTACAAATTATGAAACATAACATTTTGGAATTGGATCAAAAATCCAAATTTTTTGAGTATGAGTAAAGGATCCAAGGAGAAAGATATCGAAAGTTGATTTCTTTAACACCGTAATTTTCTTTTCCCCTAAGTGTAGTGAAAATCTTGGAAGCGAGAGGCTTAGTGTTTGCTCCCAGGATTTCAAGGGATTCTCGCATGGGAGAGATTTGGCTCGCCTGAGCGAGAGAAGTGTTGTAGAGGCTGGTGGATTCTCGCCTGAGCGAGAATCTATTGCTTGAGCGAGAGCATCAGAGTTTGAATTTTTAAAAGGCGTGAAACTCTCCCCTAGGCGACGTGTTCTCGCTTGGGCGAGAAACAAAAAAGTCTGAACCCTAAAATAGAACCCCAAACAGAAAAAGAGGTAGAACTTTTGGGAGAAAGGAGAGGCAGAGGCAATTTTGAGAGCAAGGGTTCGTGTGGAATCTACTAGAAGCTAGAGAAGAGATAAGTAACTTGATTTTGACACTGTATCTTGTTTTGAAACTCTATTTGTTCTTGTTGGATCTCTTCTCTCATCTTGAAAAACCATTAAACCCTCTCGTTTGAGTTGTGGTTCATTTTATCAAGCTTTTTCCTTGAAAACTCATGATTTAGAGTTTGTATTTGGAAATGGGGATGATTGGTGGTTAGTTCATGAAAACCCCAAATCCTAAAATGAAAATGATTTTGAAAGGGAGAAGTGTTAGGTTAGAAATGTGGTTCATGAGTTTTAATGTTGATTGAGAGTGAATATGTATGTTTTACATGTTTGAAATCCCAAAGGAGATGGTTTTGAGAATCATTGAAATTATGAACCTCTTTTATGGTTGAATATGTAGTATAAGTTATTTATGTGATATTATGAAATAAATGACTGATTATTGTTATTGTATGGTGGGAATGAGGAAAGATCCTAAGGTTGGAGGAGGTGACAAAGGAACTTTCAAAGTTGCCAAAAACCAACCTCAACGCTCACCAAGGTAAGGAGAAGCATTATACTTGTATATTCGGTGATGAATAATGTTGAATTTTCTTTTTAATCATGGATTAGAAAAGAAAGAAAGGGAAAACCTATTTTTAGCTCCCCTCAGTGGTGTAGCGACTTTGGCTCAAGTTATGTAGCAAACTTTGGCTCAATTTATGTAGCAAACTTTGGCCCAAGTTATGTAGCAAACTTTGGTTCAAGTTATGTAGCAAACTTTGGCCCAAGTTATGTAGCACACTTTGGCTCAAGTTATGTAGCACACTTTGGCTCAAGTTATGTAGCAAACTTTGACTCAAGTTATGTAGAACACTTTGGCTCAAGTTATGTAGCAAACTTTGAGGATTTGTTGGTGAAGAAGTTCATTCGTCCCAGTGTTTCGCCGTGGGGTGCACCGATGTTGTTGGTTAAGAAGAAATATGGGAGTATGAGATTGTGCACCGACTACACACAGCTGAACAAGGTCACAATTAAAAACAAGTGTCCATTGCCTAGAATCGATGATTGATGGATCAGTTAAGAGGAGTCGTTGTGTTTTCTATGATTGATCTCAGATCGGGTTATCACCAACTCAGAGTAAAGTCTGAGGATATTCCTAAGACTGCTTTCTGGACGAGGTGTGGGCATTTTGAATATATGGTAATGCCATTTGGAGTGACGAATGCCCCAATAATATTTACCGACTACATGAATTGGATATTTCATCCATACTTGAATTCATTTGTGGTGGTATTTATTAATGACATTATGGTCTACTCTAAGAGCCGAGAGGAACATACAGAGCATTTAAGAGTTGTTCTCGGAATTCTAAGGGACAACCAGTTGTATGCAAAACTATCAAAATGCGACTTTTGGCTGGAAAGAAAAGAATTATGGAAAGAAAAGAAAGAAGATATGATTGGTTATATTTATGTACTTATGTTATGTGCCTCATTCTAACGTTTCCTTTGTATTTTAATTGTGGACTAATATGTATTGACATGTATTGAGTTAATGACTTACTCCTTTGTGTTTTCTGTGAATTGTCAATGTTAATCCCATTGCAGGTAGGTGGAAGATTTAAGGATTTCTCACTTAGGAGCCTAGAGGCTTTTAGGTTTCCTTTTGAAGTCCTGATATTCATTGTTTTGTAGCCTAACTGATGGTGTTTTTGAACTGAATATTTTTAATCATGTACACGATAAATGTATATGTTGGTAGTTATGAGTATTTGTAACTCTGCATATTTGTAGCTATGGGTAATTTGAAATCCCATAGCTAGTTGTATGTGGTAGTTACCGGGATGCATTAATGAATTATGATTTTCTGTTAAATAAAGATGTATGTTGTTTTTGACTTATGAAATAAGTATGACTAGGATAGGGGAATTAAAATTAACGTTGTTGAAACTGTGTTTAAAAGATTATGGGAAATGTATGAAAAAGAAATAAAATAAGGGGAAATTTTCAAGGGTAGAATTTGGGTCCTTACAATATGGTATCAGAGCATAGTTAGTTCTACGGCCTAGGGTATGGCCTTACTTGCTTCTTTGTAACATGTTTATGATTTGACTAGTTGAGATTGTGTGAATTGAATGTATAAATCATGTATCCTTGATGCAGTGACATGTACTGTTCAATGAGACTATGTGATAACATGAAGTGTGAGTTAAAATTTGTGTGCTGACTACCAATGAGCGCAGGTTAAGACATGGCTGGAAGGGGAAGAGGGAGAGGAACGAGCCAGAACGTTCCATATGATTTGTTTGCTCAAATGG